TGTTCTCCTGGCACCTCCTGCTGGTGCACTTAAGAAATGCAGATTGCTTTGGCCTGGCAGAGTACAGGATGAAAAGATGAGCCAGCCATGCACTTCAGAAGAGAAGGGCTCCAATAGAATGGCCCTTGCTTCCTCTCAGCTTATCTAGGTTTCTCGTGCTTTTCTTTCTTAGTTTCACAAAGGGGGAAAACAGATAACCTAAAAAACTGCAGGAAACCAATGTTATTGAAAATCTGCCTCAGGCTCCTGGAGGTAGGACCAGATGTAGGTTTTCAAAGTAAGAATCTACCAAAGACTTTTTAAGAGAACAGAAAGAACCTATATATTTGTATATATGCTACAGCAAATACTCTGGTGAATATTTTTAAATAGTCTACGATATTTAATAATCACAATAACATCTTATGCTCCTCTAATTTTCAAATGAGGAAATTAAATTCGGAGACATTATTGGTGACCCAGGCAAGACCACACATCTGGTCAGAATTTGAAAGCAGATCTAGCCATGAAATGTAATTGTTGGGAGACTGCTGAGCACAAGGATAAATAAATATAAAGAGCCCATCACCATCATGGGAATTCAGTGGTTGGAGAATGCATAAATGCAATAGAGTTATTAGAATTTATACTAGTAACAAAATTTGTAATTCAAATAATTAGTGTAGTCTCAAAGTTTCTTTTATTTGAACTGAGGTGGAATGAAAACCTCAGTGATCATAATAACAAGACAAAGAGCAGTTTTGATTTAAAGTTTCTTAATAATGGAGGCTGTGTCCAGTACCAAAGCTCAGGGGGTCTGGCTAAATCAAAATAGATGTCTTCTAATTAAAAACAAATGCAAGCCATTGACAAACATGATTAGTACAAGTTACACTCGATAGAAGGCTAGATCATCTGAGATTATATGATGGCAAACATCTGGATGTAGAGATGGGTGAGAGGCTGAATTAAATAGCCCATGTTTGGACAGCTGGATCATATCATATTTAGGGCAATATCTTCTCACCCCTGTGTCCCTGCTTCCCACCAAACAAAAATAAGTTACTTCTCCAAAGCAGCTTGGGGTCGTGTATCTAACCTCTGTTGGCACGCAGATAGTTGAGGCCAGAGACTGCCACTTCGTCAAACCACTGACCTGCAGTCTGGGGGCTGCTGTGGTTAAGCAGGGAGCTAAAGGCCTTCCAATAATAATTTTAGCATTTGTGAGTGTCTCCCTTGGATTATGAAAGGGCAAATGCATGTCATCTTGCTGCTGGTGGAATTCTTCTTGCTCTTGGCTCAGAGAAGGAAGCAAGGTTAGGTGACCTGAAGGAATCTCTGTTTTATTGACAGGATCTTACTAGGCAGCTAGGATGCTATGTCATCTCAGTCTCTGAGTACTGGGAAAGTGTTTACCACCTCACCCAAAATAAGGTGTTTCTTAATTTACAGCAAAGTGATATTTTGGAATGTTCTTTTTTCCTTATTCTTCACTGGATCCCTGACTATTTAGTTTCTTGCAAGGTATGGGAGTAAGAAAGAGATATGTCTCATCATCCTTTTTGATAGTTTCCAGTCATAGCATCATTCATTGTATATTTTCATATATGTGCTTGACTGTGGAGTTGTTCATTAGCATTTTTCAATGTAGTGCTGTCCATTAGAATGAGAAAATAGAAATGGGTAAATTGTCTTGATGGTAAGAGGTTGATTAAATAAATCATGGGACATTAAGAGTTGCTGTGGAGGGCCAGGACCCAGAGACCTAGGATGGACCCAAACGTGACTGGCAAAAATGAAAAAAAAAAGTCAATGATTCCTAACGATATTCTGCTATACTCATAGATTTTGACTAGTCTAGTTGTCATCAGAGAGGCTTCACCCAGCAACTGATAGAAACAGATGCAGAAACCCACACCCAAACATTAGGCAGACCTCAGGAAATCCTGTGGATGAGAGCAAGGAAGGATTATGGGAGCTAGGGGGGCCAAGGACACCCCTGGAAAACACAGAGTCAATTTACCTGAGCTCAGGGGAGCTCATAGAAACTAAGCTGCCAACCAGAGAGCTTGCATGGGACTGACCAGGGCCCTCCACACACATGTTGTGTGGCTTGGTCTTCTTGAGAGACTCCTGGCAGTGGGAGCTGGGGCTGTCCTGACTCTGTTGCCTTTTCTCCTGCAGGGTTGACTCATCCAGCCTTAATAGAGAGGAGACAGATAGTCTTGTTGCAACTTGATATGCCATGGCTAGCTGATATACGCGGGAGGCCTGCACTTCTCTGAAGAGAAGGGAGAGGGAGTAGATGCAGGGAGATGGGGAGGTTGGGTAAGGACTTGGAGGAGAGGAGAAAGGGTGGGAAAATGATTGAACTTGGAGAAAATAGTTGATTAATTTTAAAAAGGGTCTCTGTGGTCAGGGTCTCTTCACAACAATGGAACACTGACTAAGACAATTACTCAGGTTCAGATCTTTCACAGTGATAATGAACAATGGGAGAAAAGCTGGAGACCTAACGGAGAAATGGCAAAATCATGGAAGGCAGGCAGAAAAGTTTAGACGTGACCAGGTATCTCAGTGGGAAGCTCCGTCAGGTCCCCAGTAAGAAGCTGATGGAACTGGAGTATTTTTATATTTATGCTCTGGGGGACTGGAACTAAGGGAGCTGAGGAGAAGTGGTTGCAGCACTGGAGGCCAGAAATAATGAAGACCTGATCTAGAGTAGTGGGAGTAGGGGTGATGACAAAGGGTGAGATGCTGACATGGATCAGGGGTGGGAGTACAAGGTGATGGTTAGCGGGATGTGATTGTCCCAGTGATGACAGGAAGGATGGGTACCAGTAGAAGAAAGAGAGTGAGAGATGGCCTCTGTTTGCTCATTCAGCTTTTCTCAGTGATCTTAAAGAAATGGGGAAATCCTAGCCATGTCAGCCCCACCCCCAAGTGTTAGCAAATTTGTGTATTGTCTGGGCCATTGTTTCTTTAGCCTTCACTTTTTCAATTCAAAGAACTCTGTGTTCAGTGATTCTTGTTTGTTTTAAAGGGAGACATTTTTAGAGGAGGCTCATTTGTTATTATAAATAAAAAAAATGGTGTGTCCACTTGGCACAAACTGAAAAATTAAAACCTGTAACAGCAAAACTGCATTATTAGATTCATATTGTCAAATGTCTGGCCCTGAAATCTGTTCTAAGAGTGTTATTTATCCAACAGCTAAAGAGTGCTAACTAGAAACATTCTGACACGTTCTAGAATCAAAAGCACTAGAAGAGAATTGAAAAGGGAAGAACTTTCTCCTGATGTCATATGTCACTTAAGGACATATCTGTGTGTCCCCTAAAATCGCCTAAGTCAGGATCTAAAGTTTGTAAACACTGCTCTGGGTGAAGACTCTCCTCTCCGTCCAGAGCACTGGGAATGTCTGCATCTCTCCTGAGGGGTGGGGTGGGGGAGAAGCCAGTGGCTAGAGAGACATGGAGACAGGAGAAGAAACAGACACGTGATAGGGTCTGCCTAGGAGCAAAGCCACTGTGGTTGAGGCTGGGTGCTCAGTAAACACAGAAGAGAAAACAAACCATTGGTGAGAGTGAGACCATGAATGATCACATATGTACGTCAATGCCCTGAAAGGGGAAAAGGAATTGATGCCCATGGGAACCAACAACCACGCCCGCAGGACCACCTGGGAAGTGAAGCTGATGAGGTGAAGTCAGATGTGACATGTAAATGTATTTCTTTTCTATCTGGGAAAGGTAAACCAAACATCTAAACCAGAACCTTGACAGGAACCGCTCAGTTTCTGTGGTTGATTTCTTAGATTTTTGGGATACGTTTTCCCTTAGCAGTTGAAAGAGTTAGCTGATCGCTTCATGTCTTCTACACCATCCTACAGATACTTACAAAATTTGCGTTGCACTTGTAGAAGCCCCAAATTTGTGGATGCTATCCCACTTTTTCAGAAGCATCCAGCAGTAATTCTACTGATAGGTCACTTGTCCAGAACAAGACAGCCACACTTGGTCACTGATCCTCTAGCTCTTAAATCAAGGGACATAGTCTTTGGTGGTTTAAAACACACACACACACACACACACACACACACACACACACACACACACACACAAACTCTTTTTGAAAATGTTTTCCTGTTTGTGTTCCTCCACCATTAGGTGGCACAGTCATCAGCGAGCTGGTAGTTATGGTGCACATAATTATTATGCTTCCCTGGGATCCAGTCAGCACGTGGGCCTCTAAATTAGATCCAAGTCATCTCAAGAAACCCTACTTAATTCTTAAGAGAGGAGTTTTCACATTCCATGTCTACTTTTTCTTTACAAGGAGCTGCAATCCTGGAACTAGGCTATGTCTTCTGGGTTGATGGGTAGATATTAGCATCCTTAAATAGCATTTCTCTGGTGCCCACACAAGCCTGGAAAATGTAAGGTTGTTTGGTATCCTGAAAATTAATGAGTTTCTTGAATACTAGTAAGTGTCTGTTGTTGATGTGAGGGAAGGTTTTGAGGTCTTAATAGGCTGAGCTCCTTCCTGTGTGCTTGGGTAATTTTTACTCTCCAAAGACACTTTTTAAAAATCCCCATGAAGCCAACGGAATGTCACAGAATGGCGTGCCTTATGTTATGGCTGTAAGGCTTTCTTCTTGTTTTTAAAGAGACCACATATCTGGAGGATTCAATCACTGACTTTAGAGCCAGCTAGGGAGCCCGTGATTTGGGGCTGGTCATGTCTTCAGAGCACACAGTATGGGTGGACATGTAGCTGAGCAGAGGTAACTTTCCAGGGCCTGAATCGTGTCCTGAGTCTTACCCCCACTGAATGAGAAAATTGCTTAGAGTCCATCCACTTCAGGAATGAATAATCAAGTCAGGTGTGTTGGCTCATGCCTGTAGCTCCAGCCCTTGGGATACAAAGGCAGGAATGCCATTGCTGGTCCGAGTCTAGCCTGGGCTAAACAGTTCCATGACAGCCTAGGTTATACAATGACACCCTGTCTCAATAATAACTAAAAGTTAACTAGTATTTTAATCAAAATAAATAAACACACATCTGTGATTTGGTCCTCTGGAGCTTAGATGTTAATATAGGAAAGACTACAAAGTACAGTCAAAGACGAAATGATAGGATCTTGTGGCTTATTAGATCTTTGAGAAGCTGGAGAAATGTCATTTCCACACCACTCCCCGCACAAGGCCTCTGCCTGTTCCAGTGACAGGTCCTTAAGGCAGGAAGAAACAAGCTGGGAACTGGCTCCTCCAGCCCCATATTAGCCCAGTCATCGGCCCTCAGCTCATCTCTCCTGTATTCGCTGATGGAGTGGGGGTCTCTGCAAGAGTCATGACCAACAGGGAAGCCATCTGCGAAGAGACAAAAAGGAAACCTCAGTTTAGTCAGACTTAGTCAGCCAGGCTGGATCAAACTTCTGGAGTTTCTTCTAAGTATATTTAAACAAAGTAAATTTAGGGAAAAAAGTTTCCTGGTATAAAACAATCCCCAGTGCACAAGGAGGTATGATTACATTGAAACTTGGTTCAAAGTACATGTAACTTTTTCCAAGAAGGTAGATTCTAGAGATAGGCCACCTGTACTATCTTAATGGCCTAGGGAAGGATCTGGTGTGGTCTCGGTCATACAGATAGCATAGAGGGCATTTGGACTATTAGCCACCTCTGGTCCTGGTTGTGGGAGTTTGGGAGAACCCCTGGGTATACAGATAATGCAAGGGTCATCTAGACTATTAAGTCTCTCTGGCCCTGGTTGGGAAAGCTTGAAACAGCCTGGACCTTTAGATAATTCAGGTCATGGGACTATTAATCACCTCCAATTCCAAGTCTTCTAGGTGGAAAAACATGTTATATATCTTTTTCTTTGAAAAGACAACCCTGCCTGCTTAACATTCCTGGTTTCCCTGGTGATCTGTGTGCCTAAGGACCTCTGTGCTCCAAAAATGATAGGTCAGTGAACCAGTGAACCAGTGAACCTTGGGAACACAATCCCTTTTGTAAGTGGGTACTACTTGCAGTCAGTGTAGGATTTAAAAAAACAAAACAAAGCAAAACCATGTTGCCAGATAAGCATGTGTCAACCATAAGAAGGACTGATGCTTCTCAAAATTAGCTTTGGTTAAGAGAAATGAACAGAACCTAGAGAAACACTGCCTTGCACAACTAGGATGAAACTAAGATGGTTTTCCTTCAGATAAAATCTAGAGTAGTCCTGTTAATTCTAGAAGAATTAACATAGCGAATCTGCTATGTAAAGTTCTGTCAGGTCAGTTCGTAGCTAGTGCCTGGAACTGCGACTCTCGAACTGTTGGGGAGTGTCTAGAGAGATGGCTCTGCAGTGACGAGCACTGGCCACTCTTCAGGAGGACCCAGGCTCAATTCCCAGCACCCATATGACAGCTCACAGCTGTCTGTAACTCCAGTTTCAGGAGATACAAAGCTCTCTTCTGGCCTCCAAAGGCACCAAGCAAGCAAAATGCTTACACACATAAGATTAAATAATACTTTTGAAGAACAACTAGCGTTTTCTGCCCCCCAAAGCAAGAAGAAAATGCAGAGTTACGTTTTAATTGACTCAAGAGCCTTAGACATTTAAGCCTGTGGCTGGATCATCTGTCTGCTTTTCTTGCAGGAGTATGAAATTTTGGAAGATGATAGGCAGAGGGTGACTAGCATGACCAGCTTCCAAAGGAACTCCCCTGCTTGCAAGCATCACACTCCATGTTGCATTGCCATTGATGGGCAGAGAAGCCAAAGAGTCCTATAAAATGAATCCCCACTCTCCCTGATGTTTTCCCTGGTAATAGGATTGCTTCCTACACAGCTGTAAGAAGTTTCAGCTACATGGCCACCTATACCCTTGAGTCCTAGCAAACTTCTGAATGTGTAGGTGCTCCAGGGGAGACTGGAACAGTCTGGACCAGGAAGAAAGGAAAAAATAATGATCAGGAGCTAGGGATCCTACAACCTTTTAGATAGCTGTCTTTAAATATGCCTGACTGTTATTGGCCAGGGTGGCTCTTCCTTCTTCCTGTTTTAACAGACTGGAGAAAAGAAAGGAGAAGCGTAGCTGGCTCTCTGTAGTGTTCCAAGTGTACCCCCTGTGGGATAGTACTGAGTTGTCTATATACCATGTTCTTTTTTTTTCTATCTACATCTAACAAGAATTACTGAATTACTTAGGGAAGTAACCAAAATAATAAAATAGAACAACTGCTAATAGACCATGATTAAACAAAAGAATTAGTCATGGTCAGCACAAACTTGTAACAGTGAGTCTGGTAACTGGGTCAGCTGTTCAGTGATTGACAGGCAGAGTGGTACACAGTGTGTGTACACAGCATGTCCAGGACAGGATGCAACAGAGCAGTGTGGATTTCATTGCACCATTCAGAACTGTACATATTGATGCTTTATGTATACTTCTGGAATTTTTCATATGTAATATTCAAAGAGTAACTAAAACCACAGAAAAGTAATTCTGTGGATAAGGCAGGAACTGTCAAGATTACTATGATAAAATTGTTACACAAATCAAATTCTATCACATTGACCACAATTTCATCAGTGGCCACACCCAGCTAAAAGGAGACTGCAGGGTGTCTTTTTTCATTTTCTTTTTCAATCCTGTGTTTCCCAACCACCTGGAGTTCTTCACTAAGGAGGGAGAAGGAAGTAGGTACTGGGGGATAACTGGCAGACTTTGTCCCAAAAAGAAGAAAAAAGAGTGAATCAAGTTAAGGACATTTAAGCAAAATTAAACAGGTCGAAGTCTTACCTTAGCTTTAGGCTGAATTTTAAGTGAAAAAGAGACAGGTTGCTTGCCTATAAAAAGATTGATTCTGGGACCAGTGACCAGCTGCTGAGCCCTTGGCAAGCTGTTAAGCGATTGTTCGTGGCTAGAATTGAGAATTGCCTCGACACTAGTCCCCTGCTGTTCTCTTCCTCTATCTCTCCCTTCATTTTCAATTTTTTTCCCTAAAAAAAAAAAAAACATTTCCACTGGAACTCTCTTCAAACCAAATGGAAAAATCAAGCCTGAGATATTTGGTTCTCTATACAACTCACAAACTACCTATCCACAACGCCAGGGCAAATTATAACTGTCCTCAAATGTCTAACTTGACCTGACCCATGACCACATTTTCTATCTTATGTGGCATAGTTGCCCCTCCTCTTTGACTTCCAGTCAGAAAAGCTTCACACACCACACACAAATGAATCAAACGTTGCTAAATGAGGAAACTCCTTCTTGGCCACTGCAACTCAGTGGCCTGACAACTGAGTGTTCAGAAGAGCAATTTAGTACTTGACCTGTAAAGAAACATATTGAGGATTAGCAAATTAACGACTGAACGCCTCATTGTCCTAAGGAAGTCAGGAACATTTGGTTGTCTTCAGAAATCTTGGCTCTGTCAGTGAGTCAGGGCCCTTCTCAGCCTTGTTTATTTTACATAAGTCACTTAACCTCAATGGCTCCTCATCCTTCGGTGGCCCAGTGAGGAGAGTAATGGTTGACCTGCCTACCACACGGGGTTGCTGTGAGGAGAAACCAAAGCAACCATGGTGTGGGTGAAATCTCTAAATCTCTGTGAGAGCTGAGCTTAGAGTTCTAGCAGGAACTTCTCATTTTATGGAACATAAAAGTTAAGCTTCCGGTTCTGACCTTCTTGTCCCATGGCTATATAATTCTCTCCAGCCCAGGCTAGTGTTTCTTGTTTTGGAATGGTGATCTATCATTTCTCATAGCTCAGAAGTCTCAAGTCTGGGAGGTCACTTAATAAAGAATTATGAGTTCACTCAGTAAATCAAAGAATTCCATGGTCTGACTTGGCCTCTTGTTGTGCTCTGGAGAAACCAGGCCTGGCATTCCCTTTTTTTTTTTTTTATCAAGAATGAAGTTTTCTCCCTTACCTTCTGCCCTAGATTGTACAGTAATCTACCATCTCAGAAAGAAATTCTAAAAAAAATAACCTTCAGACAAAATGATGGATGAAGGCCACCTCCTGTGATAAGATGTGAGGTTTCCACAAAACAGTATAAATTGGACCTTAACGGGCTGGCATCAATCTACGATGTGGTCTGCTTTCTTAAGGTTACACTCTACTAACATTACAAAGGAAATCTGATTGAAGACTCATACAGTTTTAGAATTATGCCATTGCGGAAAAAGAAAAGGCACAAAAATCTACAGTGGACAGGCAAAGGTCTGGGAGATGAAAGGCTCTTATTCCCAAGGCGACCTTTTATTATTCATATGGTCCTTCTTAGAAAAACCAAAGGTATCCTGAGGAAGCACAGTAGATAAGTGAAATTTGAATAAGGGAGAACTCCTCCTGTGTGTCAACAATTCGGAATACAAAGGAGTAATTCAGCAGCTCTTGGTGGGGGATATGGGGTGGATGGAGATACTCCAAGTTAGGAGAGTCTGAGAACGTGATGCATTTTTGGAGTTTTGTTCTCAATGTATGCACTATTGACTTTTAATTCTAAAGACAGGCTCAAAATGTGCTTGAAAAATGCCATGGTGCCTGTTTGTTTTACGGAGTTATAAATGGAATAAGCAAAGCTGCTGAGGAACTGAGAGTTAGGCAGACAGCTAGAGAGGCCACGACTAGGTAACAAAGATGGTGAACTTCCAAGATGACTGGCTTCTTCCCCATTCTCCCGACCTGGGATGAAAGCTTGGCAGTTTAAACCGAAGGCTTGTAGGCTTTTTCTACTGTCAGTGAGTCCCTGCTGATGGACTGCGTCAATAAGTTTGCAAATGACATTTTAAAACCCTTTCTAACTTCTTAAAAATTTAAAGACTATATAATCGCTGGTATCTCCTGGCCTGGGTACTGCAGGCAGGTGACTCACCCCTGGCAGACCAAGCAACCTAGAATCTCCTGAGATCGATGGGCTACTCCTGCCCCCACTGGGGGGAGAGGTGAGCTTCCGCCCCTGTCTCCGGCTGACTTCCGCTTGCCCACTCTGGGAACTTCTGGCCTGGGCACTGTAGGCAGGTTGACTCGCCCTCGGAGCACCAGGCAATCATGAGTCTGCTGACAGCACTGTGCTAGTTCAGCTCCCACCCACCAGGAGAGGGAGCACCTCAGACCCACCTGCAGCACCCACTGTGAGACCCATCAGAGTATTGGACCTGCTTTCACCCATCAGCAGAGAACCTTGGACCCTTACCCACCAGGAGAGGGAGAGACCCCCACCTCCACCCACTGGAAGAAGGGATGGGAGGATGACAATATAAGAATATATTTCAATAATATAAAAGCAAAAATGACACCACCAGAGTCTAGGGACTCTACACACCAGCAAGACTTGAACATCCCAACACAGATGAAGCAGAAGAGAACAACTTTAAAAACAACTTCATGAAGATGACAGAGACCCTGAAAGAGGAAATGAGAAAATCCTTTAAAGAAATGGAAGAAAAGACAAACTAAAAATAGCAAGAAACAATTCAAACAGTGCAAAGTTTGAAAGCTGAAATAGAGACAATAAAAAAAAACACAGCCTGAGGGAATGCTGGAATTAGAAAAGGTGGGTAAACAAGCAGGAGCTACAGATACAAGCATAATCAACAGAATACAAGAGATGGAAGAAAATCTCAAGTGTTGAAGATTACCAGGAAAAACTGATTCATCAACCAAAGAAAGTCTTAAGTCCAACAAATCCCTAACACAAAATATTCAGGAAATATGGAACACCGAAAAAAGACCAAACTTAATAATAGGTACAGAAGAAGGTGAAGAAACCCAACTCAAAGGTGTAGAAAACATACTCAACAAAATCATAGAAGAAAACTTTCTCAACCTAAAGAAAGACATGCCAATGAAAGTACAAAAACCTACAGAACACCAAATAGAGTGGAGCACAAAAAAAAAGTCCACTGGTCACATAATAATCAAACATACAGAATAAAGAAAGAATATTAAGAGCATCAAAGGAAAAAGACCAAGTAACATATAAAGGCAAATCTATCAGAATTAGACCTGACTTCTTCATGGAAACTCTGAAAGCCAGAAGGTCCTGGAAAGATACTCTACAAACACTAAGAGACCACGGATGCCAGCCCAAACTCTATACCCAACAAAGCTTTCAATCACTATAGATGAAGAAAACAAGCTATTCAAGGAACAAAAATAGATTTAAACAATACATATCCACTAATCCAGTCCTATAAAAAGTACTGGAAGGAAAACTCCAACATAAAGAAGTTAACTACATTCACAAAAACATAAGCAAAAGCCAAGAATTAACACTCAATGGTCCTTAATTTCCCTCAATATTAATAGTCTTAACTTGCCTTTAAAAAGACACAGACTAAGGAAGGTATACAAAGACAGAATCCATGCTTCTTCTGCATACAAGAAACACACCTCAACTTAAAAGACGGGCATTACCTCAGAGTAAAGGGTTGGGGTAAGATTTCCCAATCAAATGAACCCAAGAAACAAGCTGGTGTAGCTATCCTAATATCTGACAAATTAGACTTCTAACTAAAATCAATCAAAGAGATAAAGAATGGCATTTCATATTCATCACAGGAAAAATCCATCAGGAAGAAGTCTCAATTCTGAACATCTATATGCCAAAGACAAAGGCACCCACATTCGTAAAAGAAGCATTACTAAAACTCAAATCACACATGAGACCTCACACAGTTATAATGGGAGACTTCAACACCCCACTCTCACCATTAGACAGGACAAGCAGACACAAACTTAACAAAGAAACAAAGGAACTAGCAGAAGTTATGGCCCAATTGGGTTTAACAGACATCAATAGAACATTCCATCCAAACACGAAAAAATATACCTTCCTCTCAGTGCCACATGGAACCTTCTCTAAAATCAAACACATACTCAGCAATATAGCAAACCTCAACAGGTACAAAAAAATTGAATAACACCCTATATCTTTTCAGACCACCATGCTTTAAAGTTAGAATTCAACAACAACACAAATTGCAAAAACCCTACAAATTCATGGAAATTGAACATCACACAATTGCGCCATTCCTGGGTGAAGGAAGAAATAAGAAAGAAATTAAAGACTTCCTAGAATTCAATGAAAATGAAGACACAACATACCAGAACTTAGGGAACACTTTTAAAGCAGTAATAGGAGGAAAGTTCATAGTACTAAGTACCCACATGAAGAAACTGGAGAATTGTTACACTAGAGAATTAACAGCACAACTGAAAGCTCTAGAACAAAAATAAACAAACTCACCCAGGAGGAATAGACTCCAGGAAATAATGAAACTGAGAGCTGAAATCAATAAAATAGAAACAAAGAAAAATGTACCGAAGAGTTGGTTCTTCCAGAAAATCAACAAAATAGACAAACCTGTATCCAAACTAACAAAAAGGCTGAGAGAGAACATGCAAATTAACAAAATCAAGAATGAAAAGGGAGACATAACAATGGACACTGAGGAAATCCAGAGAATCTTCAGGCCATACTTTGAAAACCTGTACCCCCAAAATTCAAAAATTTAAAGGAAATGGACAATTTTCTGAATAGATATCACTTACCAAAATTAAATCAAGAACAGATAAGCAATTTAAACAGACCTATAACCCCCAATGAAATAGAAGCAGTCATCAAAAATCTCCCAACTGAAAAAAGGCGAAGGCCAGATGGCTTCAGTGCAGAATTCTACCAGAAATTCAAAGAAGAGCTAATTCCAATACTCCTCAAATTGTTTCATACAATAAAAGCAGAAGGTTCATTGCCAAACTCTTTTTACGAGGCTACAATTACCTTGGTACCCAAGAGAAAGGGAATGGGACAGGATCTCCTGAGCAGATTGGGAGCATGTGTGTAGGGGAGAGGGAGCTGGGTAAAAGAGAGGGGGAAGAGAAGGGGAGAGGAGGACATGGGAGAGCAGGAAGGTTGAGTCAGGGAAAGAATAGAGGAGAGCAGGAGAGATCTGGCACTAGTAAAATTTCCAG